TCAAATGTAAAAATGTATCAATATTTTTTTATATTTTTTTAAAAAAATATTAAACAAAATTAATAATTGTTTGGTTTTCTTTTTAGACATATTAGGTCAGGTTAGTTCTGATCGGGTCGGGTCATGTTAAATGTATATTTAATTTAGGTCAAGTCAATTACCCGATCTGACATGACCTGTTCGGAGTTCTAACATTAACTGACAATTATTTTAATTTTTTTTATTTGATAAATTACTATAAAGAGATATTTAAATACTTTTATTAAAGAAAATTAACTTTATATGCCTAAGTAAAATTATTTAGCGGATTTAAAAATATGTGCATATAAAATTTTATTATTATTGAATTAATACTTGTAGAATTATGAACATTTTTCATAATTATATTATTTACAAAATTTTTTATTTTATTTCTTATTTATACAGTGATTTTAAAGAACAATTTAATTGCTAATATGTATGTGATAGATAAAATAAATATAGTAAATTATGATGTTATTTTTAATAATAAAAAATCTTTGTCTAAAAATCTCTTTTTCCCTTTAATAAATAAATGTCAAAATCAAATATTATTCCAGGAAAACTTATTGTAACTGATAGTATTATGTTAGAATTTCATTATGGTTTATATTTACGTGATTAGTAGGTTTTTTCTAAGAAAAAAGCTCAAAATTATTCTATTCCTTTATGTTTAGGACTTGAAGTTATAATTCAACTTATAAAAATCCATTTATTATTTGTATAGTTCGTAATATTTATAGTTCATTACAACCTGGTTATATTTTTAAGGGAAAGGACAGAGTAGTAGTATTAAAACAAGTGTCTCTATAGCTATTACTTCTATTTATCAATCTGTTTTTGGTAGTAAAACAAAATATGCAGGACTATCTTATTTGGATACAAACCAACCTGAAACGATTCAAAAATTATTAGAAGGAATTATATTTTTTTCTTTTATTGTTGAATTAGAAAATATTACAGTTTTTATTAGTTGTCTCAGTAAAATTACAATATCAAATTCAGATAAAGATAGTCATAATTATGCAGCATCATTGTTTCATAAATATAGAAAAGTACAATCAGTTTTTTATCAACATGTTGGTAAAGATTTTTTTAATTACAATTTATCAAAACAGTCAAATTATTGCTGTATATAAAGACATTTCACCAAATACTGTTTGAAATCAAATCAGAGTTTTGACATTTATCTTAGATGATACTTTATTTATTATATACTATTCTATAACCTTGAATGAAATAAATCAAGCATGTCAAAAACTTTGTTTACATCAGTTACTTAATAAATGCACACCTGCAGATTGGAATAATAATGAATTATATTTAAAAAGAAATATTATAAAATTGGTTGAATTTAGTAATACCTGACTAAACTCTTTTTGAAAAATTGTAATTTCGTCAAAAGTTTCATCTCTTTATATTTTTTATGAATAAATATAAAATTATTATATTTTTTAATATATTTTAATTCAAGGAATTTAGATCAAGTTAAATATAATTTTAGCAATTAAGTAAAATAATTTCATCATTAATAAAAAACTAGTTTCAGCATTTTAGCTTTGTCAATTTAGTTATATTATGAAAGGTAATTTCATTAGGTATCACTAGTTGAATGGTATCAAGTATTTCAGAATTGGTTGCAACAAAAAAGTAATATTATTGAAATAAATACTCATTTTAACAAAATATATAATTCAAATTATGAATTTTAAGAAAGTGAACATGACATATGATGCTTTATGCTATAGAATACATAAATATTACTTCATTTAATAAAGATGTTTCTTGCATTAGTATAAATAATATATTTTACTTCATTTAATAAAGATGTTTCTTGCATTAGTATAAATAATATATTTTGAATATTATTAATATTTGTATTAAAAAATTTATAAAATTAGTATAATAAATTTGGACAAATGCATCTGAACCTGAAAAAAATCGTGAAATAATTGCCAAATTATATGCAGATGGATTTTTGAATATAATTTCATCAACTCAAAAATTTTGGAATTGTTTTCGTAATAGCTATAATGCAAATTCTAAAGGAAAATAGATGGCAAAGCACGTATATTATCAATAATTGCAGAAAAATTTACTTATAAAGAAATAATTGAAGAATTGAAGGTAATGTAAAATTTTTGATATTATAAAAATATAATGTATATAATTATTTATTTACTACTAATTATATATTATTAGGTTTCATCTAATTCAATTAATATAACGTAAAAATATTCAAGAATTAATGGATCTGGATGTCCTGCATTAGAAAAACCAGTTATTGTTCATTCAGAAATATCTGAAGTTTAAGAAAAAGAATTTCAATTATTTCTTGCAGATAAAACAAATGTAAATATGAGCTCTTATAAAATAGATGCAAAAATATAATTACCAGTACTTTGTTAGCCGGAGGGCTGGAAATAAAATTTAGACGATATAATTCAGTCCGTCGAATTAATCACGATAACTTTATCAC